ACCCCTTGCCACAACACCAAACACCTAGGGTTTGTAACAATGTTCATGTGGGTCATCAGCATGAAGTTATTGAAAGGGACTATAAGGAAGTTTGACAGCCAAAACATGTATAGAAATAATAAATGTCTTCTTCATACTTTCTCCTGCAATGCCCTGGTCCTGTAGAATGAGCCCTGGCATTTTTACTGTGATTGCCTGTTTTCCTGTAAAATCACAGAAAAAGAGAGCTGCTCGGGTCGAGCAGGCTGCTTCATGCGCGTTCACGCTCAGGCATCGCCCGTAGCGTTTGCTATCCGTAGCTTTAGCAGCAGAGAGAGAGGCCGTGCCACTTTGTCGCTGTTCCTAACGCCTAGTGATGAACCCACATCTTCTTTGAGGCCCTGGTACTTCTCTAGTTTCTTGTGTTCCTTTTTCCCGATGTTGCGTCTCTTGGTATTGCCACATCAACAACAACAGCTGTCCTCTGTTGTTTGTCCACCACAATATCCAATTGGTTCGCCATCACCATTGTGTCAGTCTGGATCTGGAAGTCCTACAGGGGCTTGGCTCTCTTTTTCTCAACCACCTTGGATGGTGTTTCCCACTTTGACCTAGTGGCTTCCGGCCCATACTCTGCACACATGTTCCTGTACACGATGCCAGCCACGTGGTTGTGGCGTTCCATGTACATGTGATCACCTGTGAGTCGCTTTTGACAAAAGCGTCTGCCAAATACATAAACTTTTTTTATTCTACCTTGCATTTCTCATCCTCCCTTCATGTGAACCTGCGTATGTAGAGCAAACATTTCTGCTAGATGAGGTGAAATGATTGTTTGTATGCTGTATTCTATTATTTCTGGTGATGAAGCCTCAATCTCCCAATCAGAAGGCCATCCCTTGTTAGTCTGCAACCTCGTCACAATAAATGTTCACATCACCATGAGCACAGAGAGAAACCACGCTGTGAATTTCACTGAAGTCGAACTGCCAAGCCTTGTCATCATGTAGGCAGAGTCTGAAATTAATTTGTTTAGTTCACTGCCAACGGCTTTAAACTGGAAAAAAAATTACCTGCCAAGAAAACTACCTCTTATCAGCCAAAATCATCATTTTTCTTTTCCCCGAAACACGGGAACCTGCAAGTTTATTTTCTCTAAATTAAATTTCTCTGCAGAGTCACCTGTTTTCTCCTTATTGCGCCACATCTGTTGTCTTGCGTTAGACCAGGTCTGATCGGAAATCGCAGTCGAACGGTGTTAAGCCGGAGATGACGATAATGATGTGACATTTGTTTTTCCTGGTTCACTGAACAGTTGGCTTTCAGTTGTTGTGATTCTCTCAAATGTCTCACTAGTTGATTTCACGGTGAGAACCATAAAGCCTCCCTTCCCTGCTGACAGGTTAGAAAAGGGTTCTGTTGGATCGCACGGCGGGCAGTCCATTAAAGATTTTTGAAGCTGATACAAAAGGGCAAATGCAGCACAGAAACAAGCAGAAACACAAATTAAATGTAGCACCGGGATTTGATTTGTTGTTCGCCCGGATGGTAAAATGTGGTATTTAACATGTTTCATTTTCCTTTTGAATTAAGGAAGCACACAGCTTGAACTGACCAACTTCCTGCCATCACAGGAAGTTCACTTCTACGAAAACGCCTTTTCTCTCTTTGTTCTACTTGTTTGGGTCCTGTGACCAGGAACAAAGACGGCGAACGCACCTGGTCTTCCTCAAGTTCAGGCCCACTTTACAGTCAGAGGTGAGGGCAGACGCTTTAGAAACCAGACCTTCTACGTATAAATTCACACAAACGCTTTCATTAGTGAGTTTTGGTGACTCATCATCCTGCATCCTGAGCACCACTCAGGCCTGCAGGAGATGATCAAAACATTTATTTTGGTGACCAACTGCAAGCTTTTGCTGTGTTGCTTTCTTCATCTTTGATGGGTCACCATACAGCCGACCATAGAAATAGTTTGTCGTAGGCGTCGCGAACGGCAGATGCAACTGTCAGGAATAATGAGGAAGACACAAAGTCTAAAACCTTGACAGAAAAATAGCAGTTTACATCACGTGTCCGTGGAACTTTAGCACTTTGATGCACATATGAGTCACTTTTTGCATGTATGTATAAATGCATACATTTCTATCAATTACTTCAGGTTGTGAAATAACAAAAAAGGTGACAGTTTATGTGAAAACAGTGCCTCTTTTGATCTTTTTAATACATTTTACAAAAAAATCCACTGAAACTGACATGGAAGAAAATGGTGGTGCTCTTAATTACGTGTGTTTCTGGAACTTTTATAGCATTTGTTGTATTGTGGTTTGCTGCGTGGTCATCTTTCTGACAGCAGGAGAGGCTTGTATTAGATTTAGGGTGTTCGTGTTTAACAAATGCTGAAGATAAAAGACCCATCTCATGTTGGAGAGGTTGTTTCATTTAAAGAGATGATGTGTCGTTTTTACTGTGAATATCTGGAAACAGCCATCGAAATGTTGTGGAAAATGAATTAAATGATACCGAGGTGTTGAAAGATATTGTCGGCTTTGTAATGTATAACCATAAAAATTGGGTCTAAAATACATGGGCACTGGTCTAAAGCCAGTGGCACACAGAAGACAGATTCACTGCGCCGCGTCACGCCCTCGCCGCGTCACGCCCTCGCCGCGTCACGCCCTCGCCGCGTCACGCCCTCGCCGTGTCACGCCCTCGCCGCGTCATGCCCTCGCCGCGTCACGCCCTCGCCGCGTCACGCCCTCGCCGCGTCATGCCCTCGCCGCGTCACGCCCTCGCCGCGTCACGCCCTCGCCCCATCACGCCCGTGCCAGAATTTTAAACGGAAGCCATTTTAGTTACTGAGATTGGCTAAATGAAAAGCACAACGCCACGTCCCAGAAGCGCTGGTCCACCCACAGGCGCTGAAGAGAAGTGCCAGTTCTATTTTAAGTGCCGTGGCGTGGCTGTTGACATCATTGTGGAGTACTTTACAGACATCATGACGCGGAACAGCTTTACGGCACAAACCCAACCACCAAAAGATGGAAGAGAAGCTTTTTATTGTTGAAGTGTTGATCTTAAAATATTCTAATCCAGGGCGTAGGAACGAGTTTAATATTGGGGGGGGGGGGGGGGGGGCACATTTTGGAAATCTAACAAATCTGTTATAGGTCAACATATAGGTCAACCTCACTGAAAAAAATACATTTACTAATTATGTCTGATTCTTAAGTGTCACTGAGTGTTTCATGCAGGCTGAACATGAACATAGTCTCCTACCGCTATCTCCTGCATTAGCTTCTGATAGAAAATCTGATAGACAGTGAAACTCTAGGATTAGAAAAGCCTAACAGATGTGACTCTGGGGGTAAGGCAAAGCCCAGAAAGACAAGAAAATAACTTTTATAGCCCGGTTCACTAACATTCTGTTGTTGTTGTTTTGTTTTGATCGGGGACCCATGAGCCAGCCAGAAGGGGAGGAGACTTGGGCTCCCCATTAGCCAGATCCAGGTGATTACCGGCCAATGTGGACGTTTTAATTATAAAAAAGCTGTTTATGTGTCAGTACTGTTTTATTTTTATTTAATAGTATGAATGTAGGATATCATATGGGTAGAGATGTGTAAACAGATTTAATACAAGACTAAAGCTGTGAATATTCAGTCTGAATTTATCCGACTCTCATCAGAATATTTTAAACTACATCAGCCAACAATGCTGACCAACAATCGGAAAAACCTGTTTGCTTCTGACAGAATGAAAAAAGAAATAATTCACTCACAACAACAGCTGGAACTACGTTCATTTTCAGACGGACAAAAGAAAAAAAACAGTGGCCAAAATTGCAGTCTAAATGCACCAGAAAGCAGAGTTTAACACTTATTTTTCTAATATTTCTAAGGAAGCGTGTACAGAATGTAATTTATTCTTAAACCGTACTGCCCAGCCCTACTTGTTATGGGATTACATACATTCAACTGTGTTCACTTGTTATTACATTCAAATCTTCCTCTCATCAGCAGCCTAAAATCATCTCATTCTTCACTGTCTCACCGTCAGCAGGACTGGCTCTCCCTGTCTCACCCTCGGCTGGTCTGGCTCTCCCTGTCTCACCCTCAGCAGGACTGGCTCTCCCTGTCTCACCCTCAGCAGGTCTGGCTCTCCCTGTCTCACCCTCAGCAGGTCTGGCTCTCCCTGTCTCACCCTCAGCTGGTCTGGCTCTCCCTGTCTCACCCTCAGCTGGTCTGGCTCTCCCTGTCTCACCCTCAGCTGGTCTGGCTCTCCCTGTCTCACCCTCAGCTGGTCTGGCTCTCCCTGTCTCACCCTCAGCTGGTCTGGCTCTCCCTGTCTCACCCTCAGCAGGACTGGCTCTCCCTGTCTCACCCTCAGCAGGTCTGGCTCTCCCTGTCTCACCCTCAGCAGGTCTGGCTCTCCCTGTCTCACCCTCAGCTGGTCTGGCTCTCCCTGTCTCACCCTCAGCTGGTCTGGCTCTCCCTGTCTCACCCTCAGCTGGTCTGGCTCTCCCTGTCTCACCCTCAGCTGGTCTGGCTCTCCCTGTCTCACCCTCAGCTGGTCTGGCTCTCCCTGTCTCACCCTCAGCTGGTCTGGCTCTCCCTGTCTCACCCTCAGCTGGTCTGGCTCTCCCTGTCTCACCCTCAGCTGGTCTGGCTCTCCCTGTCTCACCCTCAGCTGGTCTAGCTCTCCCTGTCTCACCCTCAGCAGGTCTGGCTCTCCCTGTCTCACCCTCAGCAGGTTCCTGCTGAACTTCATCTGATCTCTAATATAAAAAGAGTGGACAGGAATAAGGAGTAAAAAATACTGTTGGAGGACTGGTGCAACATTAAAATCATGGTTGTTGTAGTATTAGTCGTGTTCACTTGTTATCATGCTCGAATCTTCCTCTCATCCAGGCGCGCAGATAGGGTGGGGGATGGGGGGGATCTGCCCCCCCCCAGATTCAGATCGACCCCGATCCACCCCCCCCCCCCCCCCCCAACTAACGCCAGAAAGAAAACAAAATCGGAGGTTAAGCGTTTGAAGCTCATTTTTCAAATGACATTGAATGCAGCATGACGTAAACAAACACCGACTCCAGAGGCACCAAAGTGGTTGCTGCTAGGATGCAGGATGAAGCGAAAAAGGCGAGCGACGATTACTGCGTATTTAAAAAAGACCAACAGTGTAAGTAGGCGGGACCGATCTGTCTGTTTATGCGTGTTGGTTCTAGTTTCAGTACGTTGTTGTCAGTTAGTGATGGGAATTACGGCTCTTTTTAGAGAGCCGGTTCTTTAGGCTCAGCTCATCAAAAAGAGCCGGCTCTTTCGGCTCCCAAGTGGCTCCTCAGATTTTCTGTTGCGTAAAGTCCATTTATAATCAAAATAATGCAAAACTATATGTAAAACGATTTACTAATGTAAAAAAAAAAAGCTATATATCAAATATTTTTCATTTCTATGGATTTATTAACTGAACACTTTAAGAAATCTCCACTTTCCGACTGCTGTCACTCCCAATGACGAGCCGGCTCCCGTCGTTCACTCTTAGAGCCGGTTCGTTCGCGACCAACACATCACTATTGTCAGTGTTGGGACTTACTCGTTATAAGTGCCAAAGCCTCATTGCTGACTTTAACAAGTCTCATCTACAAATATGATCCCTCAAGAAGTTACTACTGTACACCAGAAGATAGTGGAGATGCGGAACCTTCAGGCTGAGCAAAGTTTGGGAGTTTTTAGAGTCTGAAAATCGCCTCCCGCCGAGAGGCTCCCAGTCGGGGAGAGGAGGAGACGTGTGCAGCATGAAGAGTGCAAATCTTAGATAAAACGTACAAATGCCGGCAGATCTGGTCTTTGTTGACTGATCACTTTGTCTGGTCATGACTGACTCTGATTATGAAGCAGAATATTGACTCTGATGAAGAAATTCACTCATCCAGCCGGGAAGATTGACGCTGCTGCAGCATCAGACAGCTGGTGCTGCACGAGAGGTGTGTGGAGTTTACAAGCTCCAAACATTGGGTTTGATGTTGGTTTAACCTTCTTTGGGACGTGATGGATGTAGAAATGATGGTAAAACACCGCGAACGTGACAGACGTAGCAACAATGTAAAAAAAAAAAAAGCCGTGAAAAAGAGGCAGATGCTGATGCGTTATTTATGGAAGTCAAGTGTGTCACATAATCATAAAAAAGTTAAATATAAAATTTAAAAAGAGATTTATATATTTATGTATAAATAAAAACTTTCCAAATATAATGAAAATGTATAAATAATGTAAAAATACGAAGGAACATCTGTTGGTCAGGCTGAAAAGTTTGGGAACCACTGCTCTAAGTGATAAGTGAATATTGTTTCGTATTATATTTTATGTGCAGTTTTTAGGGCTTTTATGTTTTCTGTAAAGATCGGTATGCTGAAAATCATTTAATGTTTTGCATAAAGCATGAGGTTCTGGTTAGTAATTGATTGGGAGAATAACAGATGACTGAATTAAATAGTGGGGCGCCTCTGTCAGAGCGCCCCAGGACAGCTGTGGTGACATCGTAGCTCATCACCATCAGTGTGTGAATGTGTGTGAATGGATGAATGATACACTGTAGTGTAAAGCGCTTTGGAGTCCTTACTCTGAGAGGCGCTATACAAGTGTGGGTCATTTATCATTTATAGTGTTGATCAGGCAGAGCTCTGTTGCCAGCGCTCCACTGCATAATGGCTTCAAACACGTATATAAAAGTTAGTTTTTACGTAAACCGTTAAATTACACAAACTGACTGAGCTCTAGTTAAGGCGCTTGCATTAGTTTGTGTATGTGTACGTGTACGTGCACGTGTGTGTGTGTGTGTGTGTGTGTGTGTGTGTGTGTGTGTGTGTGTGTGTGTGTGTGTTTGGGGGAGGTACATTGGAACTTTGTCCCCCCCCAGTTTGAAAATCCTATCTGCGCCCCTGCTCTCATCATCAACCATCTAAAATCTCACTCTTCATTGTCGCACCTACCTGCACCTCGGCAGGTCTGGCGCTCCCTGTCTCACCCTCAGCAGGTCTGGCGCTGCCTGTCTCACCCTCAGCAGGTCTGGCGCTGCCTGTCTCACCCTCTTCATCATTTTCCTGCTGAACTTCCTCTGGTCTCTTATATGAAAAAAGTGACATGAATAAGGTTTAAAAATAAAATATGATGAGAATGTCACAAACAAGCAACAATCACATTTATAAATTCCATTTTCATGTGGAGATTCTACTTTTTTATTTATTTCGTGTCAAATGGTTTTTGTCTGTTACTGTCAAATCGTGTCAAATTCACCATTTTTTGTTGACTAGTAGTGTTGTTTAATGTTTAATGCTGCCTAGCAAGATGTTAACATTAGTCAGCCAGTCTAACGTTTGACCAGAAATACAATTATCCTCTTGGACTAAATTATTACCAACTCACATTTCCTTTCTTTCTTTTTTTGCCCATGAGAAGAACTCGCTGAGCTGCTGCCGTCCCGGCCCCAACTCCCGCTTCACTCAGCCAGCCTGTCTAACTCCCTGAGGGGAGGCGCTGTGTCGGTGAGAAGCATCGACATATATACTGGACAGTTCATTTCCATAGGCTCCAATAGCACGTTTTTGAGGCTAAATGGGAGGTGGCCACCACCGCCATTTTGACCGTGTCACAGGTTCTGTCAAGCCCAGACAATTCCACAAAAGGGAAGAGAGGAGGAGCTGAGGGTGGGGCTGTAACCCCCAAATTCCACTACCTCCGCTCCGCTCCAACACGAACGCCGGAGCAAAATCGGTCCCGTTGTAGTCAATCAGAGCAATTCCACTACTGCGGCCGTGCTCCGGCAGTGCGGCGCCGTGCGCCGCCCTCTGTTCCGGCGTCCGGCAAAAATAGAATCGATCCTATTTTCGCCGGACGCCGGAGCACCTCCGCAGTCAATGGACAGAAATCCCAACTGTCCAACAGGAAAAGGAGCAAGCACGATTTCCGTTTTTCACAATAAATCGATAAACAAAAGGCGTTTTTTGTTTCATATGCACAGGTTTAACAACTTTTAACAACTATCAATGGCGGCTGAAGTTTAAATGCACAAAAGTAAGCCATAAATACAGTTTCTACTATCAAAGCAGTCACACTTTGTTGATCCAAACACTGCTGATCTCTCAACACAAATGATGGGCAGATTAAACAGTTCATTTCGATGCTTCTCCCACAAAACGGGTGTTTGGATCTAACTTCCGCGTTTATTGCTCGGGCTGTATCGCAAGATCTCGAAAATCCCGCGCATGCTTGTTTGCCCCCCTCAGGTCTCCGCACCGGAGCGGAGCCGTTGTAGAGCGGGTTCCAGTAAAAATTGAGTTCGGAAGCGAGCGGCTGCAGAAGGCGGGGGCGGACCGGAGCGGACCGGAGGTAGTGGAATTTGGGGGTAAGGCTGGGATCAACTGACAACACCCGGTCGAACTAGCTACAAGCTAACCTGAAGCTAACCCAAAGCTGACGCAGGTAGCAACCTAGCTACAACCGGAGTTAACTGTGCACAACACCAGAGCTTCTGAGTCAGAGATACGCTGGGCTGACTGCTGTGTAAAACCGGGTGGAACACAGAGGTCTCCCGAAAGCTGCTGAAAGCCGGCAGCCGCACAGCAGACAGAAGCCGCGATCAGACAGCGATGCGCCGAGCTGCGGGGAGAAACAGCCAGCATTCCGGGTGGAAAACATCGGTCTCCCGAGAGCTCCACAAGCCGATAGTCGGAACCCAGCTCCACCAACATGTTATATTTAAACCCATTTTCTAAAGTGCAGCATTATGTTAAATGCACTGGGTTTACCCTATTACATTTAAATTTCATGGTTAAACAGTACATGTTAAAATCTAAGCTCAGCTCGGCAGTGACCTAAAATACATAAATATAATTTTACTTACCGAAAAAAATGAAGTGGAGACTCCTTGGACGCTCTATTAGTGCAATTAATGCCACAGCAAGTCATTTTGTCCAACAATTGCACAAAAAATATCCAAACAAGAATACACAAACACAGAGACTCAAAATCCCGGAACAGTTTCCAAGCCAGACCGAGGCTCTACTGAGGCCTTTCCACGGAGCTAGCTCTGTGGTCACGTGGGTCTGATGCTCATTAATTATGCAGAATTTTAGGCTTTTAATACACTTAAACAGAAGAGTGAGAAAAAAAATTCACCCCCCTCAGAGTTGTCATGAGTGTAAACTAGATCAAACTAGATGTTCACTCTGATTTTAGCGATTTGCTTCACCTCCAAAGACATTACTGTCTTATTTTTACTTCCAGGTGCCGCCATGATGCCAACCAAAAACACCAAACTTCTTCTTTTTCTTCTTCTTGTGCATTTTATTAACGATTGGTAACTGAAAATGTGAACCGCTAGAAAAACAGCTAACAGCCGTCAAGCAGATAAAGAGCACCCCCGCCCCCTTTTGGAGCACCTACCCACTCCACAAAAACTATCAAGTGTGATTTTTGGTCAGCAGATGGCTGCAGAGTGGTATCAAATATGTCATCAATTACTGAGATCAATGTTAAAGCTCTTGCTTAAAGAGCAAGTCTCTCCCAAATCAACTTTTTATTCTGATAAACTATATAAACGCGTGTGTAATCATGCTGCAGACATGTGTAGTCAATAGTTTAGCACTTTAATGCATTTTAGGTAAAAATTTTATTTTCTGCCTAAAACTGTCAGTGTTGTGCCGTTGTCAGGTAAAAACGCTGCGCTGCACTTGAATTAAAATCTGCCACTGCTATTAAATAAGAGGTACCCTAGAACGTTAGCTGGTACAATGTGATGTCACAATGTCATTGTGAGCCTGTGTGTGTGTGTGTGTGTGTGTGTGTGTGTGTGTGTGTGTGTGTGTGTGTGTGTGTGTGTGTGTGTGTGTGTGTGTGTGCATTTGTTAGTGGCTCCGCCCTCTCGGTCTGCTAGGCAACAGCATTTGTTGCATTTTTCAAACAGGATGTGGGAGTGGAGTAAGACTCTGGTAGTACTTGCTCTTTAAAGAGCAAGTCATTCCAAATCAACATTTTTTTTGCTGATAAACTAAATAAACGAGTGTCTGATCGTGCTGCAGACACGTTTAGTCAATAATTTGGCACTTCAGTGCATCTTAGTTAAAATTTAAATGTTCTGCCTAAAACTGTCAGTGTTGCACCGTCGTCAGGTAAAAACTCAGCACTGCATTTGAATTTAAATCTACCACCGCTATTGGCTAAGAGGGACACTATGATGTTAGATGGTACATTATGATGTCACAATGTCGTGTGTGTGTATTTGTTAGTGGCTCCGCCCTCTCGGTCTGCTAGGCAACGGCATGTGTTGCATTTTTCAAACAGGAAGTGGGAGTTGAGTAAGAATCTGGTCGTGGGTGACTTGCTCTTTAAGTGGTTTGCTGAATTAGAAATTATTTACTTCTGCAGATCCTTTTCATTTCCTCCAACAATGAGAGCAAATGATGCGGCAGACCGTTGTAGAGTCTGAGTCACAGTTTTAACAATGAACATAATTGTCGTCTCAGTTAGAATTCAATAAGTATCTCCCCTGTTTCTCCTAAGTGTGTTACTACAGAAAGTTTATTAACTAATGAGCTTATTGTCACAGATAAAGCGCTGATGAAGTTATCCGTTTTGTTTATGTGGCTAGCACCGGTAAGGATCGTGTTAGCTCAGAGATGTATTTATTGTCATAATTGAAAGGAAAGAAGAAAAGGCATGATCATAGGATGGGAAAGTGGTGGGAGGCACTATCATCCACTCCCGAGTCCAGGCATGTAATTTCTGTTTTAAATTCACAGGCACAGAGAAACATTATCAAACAGAAGTGAAACCAAAAAATGCTCCAGTTGCTGAGCACCAGCAGTCCCGTGGAAAAACCGACGTTCAGATATCTCCGCATCGTCCAAAGCTGAACTATGGAAAGCTACTGAGACCCATTGTTTTGCTTTGATGTAACCACACTACACATGAGAAGACAAGCAGCGACAAAGTGAGAGGAGAGACGTTCAAGCGAGCAGTAATTTCCTTAGATTGCAGTTTTCTGGGACATAATTGGATTTAATTGGTTCCTTTTTCAGTTGACTCTTCAGGTTTTTGTTTTTAATTATGAGGAAACTGGGTTTGTCTGTCTTTTAGGGCAATAAATAGTGCACCTAAGAGCGTGTTTTCATGGAGGCATGTTGATTTACAGCTCAAGGTGGATGGGGTGGTTTGATTTGGTGCTATTATTGTAAGATATGACCCAAATATTTTCAAAGCTGCTGACTCCTCCTGTGAAATATTGATAAGCTTTTCCAACTGTGGGCCCATGCTGTAAAGTTAAGACCATTTGATCATCCACCTCTCAGACGTCGATAGAAGTGATTTACTCGCTCTATTTTCAAGTTTTATTTTCAGCCAGCCAATCATCTGTTTTGACCTGACACCTGGATCCTGGACTTCTGCATTTTGTCAACCAGATGAGGTTCATCGGCTCGTCCTCCGCCCTCCACCCCCAGGCTGTAGGGAGCCGGCTTTATGCTGATGATCCTGAGATGTTGCTGGAGGTTTAATCCCCTCACTGTGAGAAATGAGCTGCTCCTGCTCTCCCTTTTGCTCCTTCAACTTTGATCAAGCCCTAATGTGATTAGTCAGTGACCCTGACGTGACTGGATCAGGAACATGTAAGAGAAACCCAAAGAAGAAGGGCGGGAGGCAGAAGATCGTCTGATCTGACCAGTAAACTTGGAGAAGAAAGGAATTATTCTGAAGGTGTCTGTCTTGCAGCCCTGCCTTGTGGGTAATAAAGGTTTCATGTATTCGCTTTACCCAGGCAAAAATTGCGATCTATAATGACCTGACATTTCTTTTTCTTTTTTTTTAAACCATCCAAGAGGCTCATGATTTGAATGTTAACCAGGACTTTACTTGACGAGAGGTGCAGTCCACCGGGAGGAAACTTCCTTTGAAAGCTGTCGGATCTAAGCGCATTTCACTCGAGTTTTCATGGTAAATTAATGTAAATCTTCTGCTGCCTGCATTAAGGAGCAAAATATTTGTTTTTATTTCACCTCCTGCCACTGCAGTGCAGCTGTGAAAAAATAACACATTGCAACATATTTCATCTGACAGGTTGTCTGCACTGAACTCCTCATACATGTCCTGATGAAGCTTTTCTGGTCCATGACCTGGAACTGGACCACCTCCACGTGCTCCAAGCATCACCTTGTTGCTATTGATGGTGTGTGATGGTGAAATATGGTCATTTCAACTTTGGAGGCCATACAGCTGGGGTGTGTAGTGTAAAATGTTCATTGATGTTCATTGTAACCTAAAATTCTGACTCTGTTTTATGACATAAAGTTGGTAATGTTTCGTAATTTATATTTAACCCAAGCCCCTCCTTTGGCCCTTAAACCAATAGTTTATGCAAGCCTAGAGCGTTGTATCCATAAGAGGGAGCTGTGAATCAACAACAAAATGCCCCAGTTCCCAGTTTGCACAATGAGTGGATGCAGATGTAGGGTTTGAGAAACTGAGTGCTTTAAGAGCTCATTATAAATTACCTCTACTTATGACCAATGAGCTGTGATACTCTATATAAATATAGAATATCAACCCTGCTTGGTCTTTCCTGTCTTTAATCAGAAGATTCTAGGATACATTGTTTTATTCAGGGATTGTACACACCTCATTTTTATTCAGAAAAGAGTCAGGTTTATAAAAGTAAGAATTTATTTTACAAACAATTAAAACATGACAGGTTAACTAACATTTACTGTGATGGATGGAACTAGATGTGATGTATGAAACCTAGGTGTGAATGAGATGTTATCAGAACTTCCGTATCTAGGAGAGCCGAGTTCTGGATGTAAAAGAATTTGGTTTGAGTTAAGCTATGAAGTTGGTTGTTATCAAAAACACATCAGACGCAATCTGTCAGGTCTACGTACCCACTCGAAGACCTTCGTTGTAGATCCGGAATGTCGAAGTCCTAGGACTTTAAGGCACCGAGGTCCACATAAGAAACTGCGGCACTACTAGATCGGTCTTAGAGAAGTCTCCAGGTCACAACAGATGGATGGAACCGCGCATCAGGGACTCTTAAGGAGTCTGAACAATATCAGCTTGTTCTGCAGGAATGGTTTGTTGTATCAGCTTCGCAGGTGCAAAAAGATTTTGACGTGTCAAAAGCTTTGGTGGGTGAAAGAGGGTTTGCTTCAGATGGCAGGTCTGAAGCTTTCTCAAGAACTGATGAATCACCAGAGTGATCCTGTTTTAATGTTCTCATGTTATGATTTGTGTAGCCAACCAGAGGTTGACAAGTTGAGGAATATTACCAAGACAACTCAGAAATACGCCTTCTTTGATCCGGATGCTCTGATCTGGGGTAAAAGGCTATCAATGTGTCACGCCGTCGTCATATTCCTCCGCTTATCCGGGTCCGGGTCGCTGGGGGCAGCATCCCATCTAGGGAGCTCCAGACCGTCCTCTCCACGGCCACCTCCACCAGCTCCTCTGGCAGGACCCCAAGGCGTTCCCGGACCAGATTGGAGATGTAAACTCTCCAACGTGTCCTGGGTCGACCCGGGGGCCTCCTGCCGGCAGGACATGCCCGAAACACCTCCCCGGGGAGGCGTCCAGGAGGCATCCTGACCAGATGCCCAAACCACCTCAACTGAACTTTCGATCCGGAGGAGCAGCGGTTCTACTCCGAGTCCCTCCCGAATGTCCGAGCTCCTCACCCTATCTCTAAGGCTGAGCCCGGCCACCCTACGGAGGAAACTCATTTCGGCCGCTTGTATCCGCGATCTCGTTCTTTCGGTCATTACCCAAAGCTCATGACCATAGGTGAGGATTGGGACGTAGATCGACCGGTAAATCGAGAGCCTGGCTTTCTGGCTCAGATCCTTCTTCATCACGACAGATCGGCTCAGCGTCCGCATCACTGCAGACGCCGAACCAATCCGCCTGTCAATCTCCCGATCCCTCCTACCCTCACTCGTGAACAAGACCCCGAGATACTTAAACGCCTCCACTTGAGGTAGGACCTCTCCCCCGACCCGGAGGTGGCAAGCCACCCTTTTCCGGTCGAGAACCATGGTCTCAGATTTGGAGGTGCTGATCCTCATCCCAGCCGCTTCACACTCGGCCGCGAACCTACCCAGCAAGAGCTGAAGGTCAGAGCTGGATGAAGCTAGGAGGACCACATCATCCACAAAAAGCAGAGACGAGATTCTCCTGCCACCAAACTCGACACACTCCACACCACGGCTGCGTCTAGAAATTCTGTCCATAAAGGTAATTGACAGAACCGGTGACAAAGGGCAGCCCTGGCGGAGTCCAACCCTCACCGGGAACAGGTCCGACTTACTACCGGCAAGGGCGTCAGTTTGTTTTCAGAATTGCTGGGGACAATAACCATACACTTGAGTGGGGTTTAAAAATTGCTGGGGACAATATAGGCTAGCACAGGGGTCGGCGGCTCTGTAGCCGCATGCGGCTCTTCCATCCATCTGATGCGGCTCTCTGTGCTTGTAAAATAATGAATGAATATTTAAATAAAATGCTTTATATTTTACTGCATTAATTTTACATCTGTAAGCTAATTCTAAATGTAAAGTTTGTCTGCGTAAACCTGAACAGTTCCAACCCGGTCTTACTGTGAGACCGGGTTGACGCGTCACGCTTGTGTGTAATCATAGGCGCTTCCTGAGCTGGAGGATGTGAGATTCTGGGATTCTCCTCAGATGCTCCTGGATGCGTCGCCACATTGGAGACAGGAACAAGCGCTATTCAGCCAAAGTTTCATAATCAGGGAACATTTTCTAAGTGACAAGTCTCTGAGAGACCGGGTTTGGAAAACACTCGCTTCAGTGGGAGGCAGTGTTGGGAACGTTACTTTAAAAAAGTAATTAGTTATAGTTACTGATTACTTTGTCAAAAAAGTAACTCAGTTACTAACTGAGTTACAAGATCATAAAAGTAACTAATTACCAACAAAAGTAACTACTTAGTTACTTTTTTCATTAAAGAATGCAAGAATTACTACAATAGTAAAATATAAATGACTGATGACTGGAACATAATAAAATGTATGTCCAAATGTTTTATATAAACCTGAATAATTTAAATAAATAAGCACTTAACAGGAGGAACTACTAATAGGAACATTAAACTAATCTAGACTATTAAAAGGTCACTGTGTGATATTTAACAAAAACCCAATCAGCTAAAAACTAAAATTGCAAATAGAAACACCTGTAAAGGTTCCCGAGCCTTTAAATGGTCTCTCAGTCTAGTTAAATTACAGAAATAAATGTAATTTTGCACAGCATTTTAATTTTTCCAGCTTCACATAATTGTGTGTTTTCAGCAGCATTTCTGTTGCAGGTAATCTAGTAATGGTTAAATAAATAAATAAAATCCTTTAAAATGACACTAGAAGAGGCACAAGCCTGATGGAGGACTTACATTTACTAACGTGGGTCAGACCCAAACACAGAAGAGCTGAAGCTGGGTGGTAAACACACACAGGTAGTTCTAATAACACCTGAGCTCCATGCCGTCTGAGACTGATGCATCAGTGTTACAGCGGGACTAAAGACATGATCAGAAACAGGTTACAGCTGGATGATCTAGGAAGGCAGAAGATCAGGACGTCTGAGCGGTGAACAGGTGAGCGGACCTTCGGGACGTCCCGCTGTCACGCTAAGGGCACGGCTGCAGACCCGCAGATTCGCTGCTGCACGCATTTTCTTATCAGTAACAGGAACGACGTTTTGATACAAGAAGACGAAATTAATTAGTTTGCTCGTTACAGAAAGAAATATTTTTTATTAAAGCGGTTATTTTAAACGGAGTTATTCCCGTTGTGTCTACAGAATGCAGTGACTGAGACCGTGAGGGTCTCCGCCCACCCGGCCAATCATCATCGTGTTTGTAAGTGCGTTACCGACATCTCTCTCTCCCTGGCTGCAGCTGAAGTGTGGCGGTCAGAAAGCCTCACACTGTTGCTCAACGTTCGACAAGCACATAGTAACGTACAACGTTCCGTCCCCAGTAACGGTAACGGCGTTGCAACGGCGGGAAAAGTAATTAATTAGATTATTCCGTTACCTATAAAAGAATGCCGTTAGAAACGCCGTTATACTTAAACGGCGTTACTCCCAACACTGGTGGGAGGAACCTTCCCGCATGCGCTCTGGTTCTGAGAGCCTGGATTTGTATTCTGAACAGTCTAAACATGTTTTTAAAAGAAACTTATGACAAAAGTGGCACCTGCTCAGTAAAACCACCAACAGGGTGAAAAATATCTAAATATTGTTGGCAGAGACGGGCTACAACTTCTGGATCATCTTTATACAAATCGTTTTATTGATTATCGTCTTATGAAAGATAACTTTGACGTACACGAGCGACCAGGCGTGTTGCAAGATTTTCAAAAGTGTGGGGGATGTTGTCTGTGCCTAAAATAATTTGATGTTATTCATCTTGTTAGTTTAATTTCCATAATAGCGGAGCAGGTGCGAATTTTAGACGTGTCACGCATGTTTCCGTTTTAAACATGTTTAAACTGTTCAGAATACAAATCCAGTCTCTGTCTCGTTAGATTGGTGTAACTAAAGTTTGTGCTGAATGAAACTTTACATTAAACCATGTTGAAAAGAAAAGGACCCGATTAAATCGTTTCCCCCTCATTTTACAGTCAGTACAGCGCAGTGCGCGTGGCTCTGGGGTTAATCAGATTTAATTGTTTCTCTTTGCAACAATCTTCACAAGAAGGCAAAACAGTTAAATGGCAGGTTACAGATATTTCCATTTGACTTTTATTTTGACGGATAAACTCAAGGATGTTGGTTGATTTGAAAGAATTACCCCGACGCGCACTGATGCGCATGGATGAGCTGACATTTTAATACGCACATCGCAGAGGTAACTTGATTCCCATCAGAACATCAGAGATTTATACTGGACACTGTGTTCAGCGCGGCTCGGAGCGCCCACGGTGGACAGTGGGCTGAAGATCTGAGGGGTTTGCAGCGCAGCGCAGAACCACGGTGCATGCGGCAAGATTTCCTCCCACTGAAGCGGTCTGGAAACCCGGTCTCTCTGAGGGATGTGTCACTTGGAAAAATGTTCTTTTTATGAAATTATGAAACTTTGGCTGAATAGCGCTTGTTCCCGTCTCTAATATGGACACGCATGACGCATCCAGTCTGAGGCAGAATAGCAGCTCAAAAAGCACCTGTAGAGACATTTGATTACACACAAAGTTTATGTGGAGCAGAAGCGGTCGGGCCACGGTAGGTGAAATGTTCCTAGCCTACATGAAGTGAAACTGTTTAATTGTAACATTAATATGTTACTGGACATGCTGGTCTGGTTGGTTAGACCAGTGTTTGAAGTGGAAAACACACACACACACACATTAAAATAATGCTGATAGCGTGGACTAGCAGGTGATGGTTTACGTATTTAAATGATGATCAGGCTGCTGTAAAATGTAATCTCCATCCACATCCAGACAGAATTATCCTCTATTCTTTCTCTATTTGCTCTGCTCTTGTCTGGGCTGATGTAGCTGACGGTGCGCGGCGCGCCTAAAGGCTGTGGTGCACATTTTACGCATTTGGAGAGGTGGGCTGGATGCTTTGCTTTTACTGGAAGATGGTCCACTTAACGCACGGGTGTAGACTAAATATTAATGACAAATGAATGAAAATTAAATTGGGAGTTTTTACTTCATATTTTAGAAATAAAAATGACGGGGGAAAACATTTATGATGTCTTTTTAAACGAAATTTTCTAGCGCGACCTGCCTGCTTCACTTAAGTCGCTGCTTATTAAGGTCCGTCCAGAATTACCGTGGCCCACCCAAAAATGAAAACCTGGCGCCGCGCCTGTTATAAACCTCTGCAAATTGTTGTTCTTCACGTTATCGAACTCAGACTTTGTACAGCTAATGTCAAGATGTAAAATTATGAATTCAGTCGAGCTCTTCCGTCCCTCCCTCTCCTGCTCTCCTGGAAACCCGACATCGCCTGTCAGAAGCGGGAGGTGAAGAAGGAGATGAGGCAAACAGAGTGAGTGCGACATAGAGAAACCAGACTGGTGTGGAGGTGAGCAAACAGCTGGAAAAGTGTGGGTGTTGAATCCCCCACGGGTGCGACGCCCATGCGAGCGTCCTGTATCGGCTGCTGTCACCTGTCGTGAGCAGCTCTCTGCTGTCTGAGGGTAGGCCCCGCCCACAACGCTGCGGCTGCTGCGGTGTTTTCTTTACTGTGGGAAATGGGTAATAATGGCTCTTTGATGTGAACAGGTTGCCGACCCCGGTATAAGATCTGAGCTGGTAAAACAAAAATCCTCATCAGCAGGCTTTTTTTAAAGTGGGGGGGACACAGCTGCCAATCACAAATTTTGCCGGGGACATGTCCCCGGCGTCCCCGGTTAAAATGACGCCTATAACTACCGGCTATGCAGACCAAACTCGCGCTCCTCTGGTAAAGGGACTGAATGGCACTTAACAGAAAGCCACCCACCCCATACTCCTGGAGCGTCCCCCACAGGGTGCCCCTGGGGACACGGTCATAAGCCTTCTCCAAATCCACAAAACACATGTGGATATCTGTCATACATTTAACTTAACTTAACTTTGTCCTTGTATGAATGGAAATGGTGATGACCTTGTCATATCAACATGCTGAAACTCAATCAATGTAATCATAACATTCATTTCAAACTTCAATCATTGAGCACAGATTAATGAAAAAAAATCATTATACTATAATTATTGTAAGTAGCGATGAACAAATGTTTATTTAATGAATATCTAGCTTACAAGTTTTAGAAGTTCATATTTAATTTAAGAAATCATTCTTTGATTTGGCAACTAATCCAAGATGCGAGTGTTCCTTATTTGGAGGCATGAAGAATCCTGTAGGACAGTAAGGGAAGCTGGACCTTGAGGAGAGAACATCATTGTTGACAATTCGCTATCACGTGTTCAGAGCCGCAGAGAGGCTCTGAGCTTCAGCTGATGGGATGAAGGCAGGCCGGTTAACACATGCAGTCTCGTGTCTCCATTTTGACCAGATGTTGAATAGTCAAACTGTACCTAAAAACTGACCATTGCTGGACGTTACACAGACACTAGAAGGCTTAGCACATCTACCTAGCTTGAATGCTAACTTGCCTGCATTTAATAAATGTCAGTCTGTGAACTTCAAGCTAACTGTGGAAGAGGAGGGAGGGGAATGAAAGGAATTAATTTCTGTGTGTTGGAGGTAAGTGATTGGCGTAGCGTTGCATTAGACTATTATTTTAGTCTGTTGTAGCACAGCGCTAACTGCGTTGATGGAATATTTTCTTTTTTTTGTGACAAATAAAATTTTGCTACAAAAAAATTTCAAACTTAAAGTAGTGGTAATCCCCTGTCAGAGTCTTACTCCACCCACATTTCATATTTGAAAAATGCGGCCCAAAGAGGCGTTTCCTGTAAGACCGAGAAGGCGGAGCTACGACCGTGATTGACATACTGAAATTTGAATACAGATGGCGACGGAGAGCGACAGTAGCTCAGAGCAGTCATTCGAGGTGGAGGACTTTTCCCCACCTTCTTCCCCAGAGGATAGGGAGGAGGGCTTATTGGGGGAAGCAAGCGGTCCTGAACCGTATCTTTTTGAGCCACTAGCTTGTGAGTTGTCAGAGGCCCCTGGAGTCGAGCCAGCAGGAGTATCAAGGCATCTAATGGGTCCAGTCTCTGAGTGGTAAGTAGCTTTTAGCCACAGCTAGCTATATTTAGCTTAGCTAAAAGTAATTTTGTATGACTGCCTCAACAGGTGCACCTTTGGCCACTGCACATCATTGTCTGCCAGAGAAAATGTGTGCTGCAGAGAAACGCCCAAGGTATAAAAATAAAAGTACCCCACCATGAGAAAAGCATTCTGTAATGTACACATTTGTTACACAATCACTAACATCATACTAATATTGAACTCTTATAGCCCTGATATCAGTTGTTCTTTGTCATAGGTAATGCTCAGGTGTCAGCAGGTGGGTGTAACCTCCTGCATAACAGAGCATCCTGGTTTTGAGGCTGTTGCTCTGAATCCCTACGTGTTGCAGGCAGTTTATGGCAGCTTTCTGCAACTCTATGGGGAGATGCAGGAGACTACGCTCAACAGGTAAGACAACTGTCAAAATAATTTTTTTATGAATACTTTATAACTCATACCACCTCTTTCTCAGCTGTTACAGACATCTGGCGTACCGGAATGTGGTCAGGTGGTGTTGGGGTTACCTGGGACAGCACGTTCGTGTTGTGATCCCGTCATGCGCTGTCTCCAGAATAAGGCAGGAGTTCCCAGAAGACGGTGCATACAAAGGATTCCTCCCTCCTCTGAACTAATATATATTTTTTGGATTAAATAAATGTTATAATATATATTTCCTGTATTGATTCCTGTCCATAAAAAGCTGCATAAATCACAAAACGGTAAATGCACTTCTTTACACTTTGACATTATTTATATATACACACATATAGCCACACACTTTTCAAATGAGCTCTTACAACAGTAAGGTTCTAATTCGGGGTTAATTAATGCTGCTGCAACAAGTGAGTTTACACCCTGTGTGATTAATGAAGTCTAATCTAGAGCAGGTTCAATTAGGTAAAAATGAATGATAATTTAATAAATGTGATATATGTATTTATACAAATCAAAATATCAATATAATTGTATTTAAAATGACACAATTGCGCTTTAAAGATAACATTTATTATAGCTACTACTAAGACAATGTTAGATTACAATCTGATCATAACTTTCATGATTTTTGACAAAACTCTAAACCACAAGCAGAGATTCTGGAGCCATGTGAGGAGAGGTTGGGCCAACAGTGATGTTTCTTTGGTTCCTTAGACTGGAGGTAGCTTTCACTGTGATGACAAACGTGGAGATGGATCCCGGGAGCACAGGCTTTTCTGTAACAATATCAGGAGGCTCTGAGGAAAAAAGTAATATTAGTATGACTAGTATGACTTACAAAAGCAAGACTGGTGAGTTTTGTTATGTTACATACGGCCAAGATTTTCAAGTTGTATGGGAGCCACAGAGCAGAAAGGTTGTAGAGATCAATAGACATCTGGGAGGTGGACAGCATGAGTCACGAGTGGATGAGCATAAAGATCCATAATGACGACAGGTAACTCCTCTGTCGTACAGTGGTGTGCAGCCTGGCTGAGGAGGAGAAAAGGAAAAACCACACAGAGTAGAGTACTAACTAATAATTACAATCTCTTGTGTAGCTCACCTTACGTGCACTTTAAAACCTGGACCTGTGCCTGCTCACAGCATCCCGTTTATCTGGTCTTTGGAACTGGGCACAGAGCGGTTCTGGAACCGGAATTTTGTCCGAGTACTCCTGATATGGGAGAGGATCCACCACCACAGAGTCGAACAGCAGATCTATAAGCTTGTGCACATATACTGGAAAAGGGTTTTCAGTATTACAATAGCTCTCCATGACATCATTTTGGTTATGACATACATGAGGTTGGATTGGTCTTCAGGGCTCTCACTGTGTAGTCTCCATGTTTGTACTTTGGGTACACTACAGCATATCTCAGCTCACCAGTTGCTGTTGCTGCATGTGAGCGTGCTGCATTTTCATTATAGTGCATTGCAGCAATTTGTAATCTGAAATAATCAAATAAACAAACCATGTAGATTTTAGGCAAAATTCTACATTTCATTCTAAAATTTGAACAATTAGAGGCATTAATTTGAACATTTGTTGTATTCATTACCTAGACAGCATTCCTTTGAAGGAGAAGACCTGACTTTTTGGAGTAAATCTGATGATGAGACTGTGGAAAGCCTCCAAGGTGGATGTGTGGTACTGAGGGCTTATCTTCTCTACGTCCTTTACAAACCGTGGAGCTAACAGAATGGCAGTGAGCTTCTCACATGATGCTGTGCCTACGTAGAAAATGTTAATTACAAAAATTACAATTTGATCAACTTTAGAATGTTGCTATTATTTCATTGAGAAAAAGTTACCCATAGCTGACATTTTTAGATGACAAATGTATGAAAGAGTGACTAATAGTGCTGTAGACAGGTGTGGTAATTACTTACGGCATTTTAGTACATATTATGTCAATTATGGCTGTTCTGCCTAAAACCATGAGTTGTGTGGCGCACTCTTCTGTTTAAATTTCTGCACAGCATTTTATTCTTAGTAATTAATTGCTGTTGGCCAAATGGTGGTGTGTGACCTTAGCAGCCACATGTGACGTCTGTAACTCTCATGCTCCAAAAATATTTCTCCATGTTGAAGGAGGTGAAGACAAATATTCTGTTGTGGGGTGACGTGTTTTAAATGTAAAGAAACCCAACAGTAAAGGCTCAGCTGTAATGAGTACATGCTACACTTACTTGGTTTGAGCCACTGTCTTGCCTGTTCTCCATCCAGAGGTGCATGCAGACAGCTAGGGAACAGGGCGTTGTCATGGCTGTGCACATTTTGGATGTGGTTGGCAACTGAAGTCCACTTTGCTACTGCCTCCTGTCCTGAGGGGGAACTGGATGCTGACCAGTAGAGGTGGTTCACCACACTTTGCTTCCACAGTCTCACATCCTGGGTCGTCTTTCTCTTCCCCAGCTCTTCGATTTTCTTACCAATTCCTGGAGAGCCAAACAGACCCACATTTAAAATAGAAAAAAAAAATCCTGTAATATTCACTATATACATCCACAAAGATTACCTTTTCCCATGTGCCAGGGGTCAAAGTAGTGACTGATTTCCTTTTTTTCCTCCCGCAAATACTTCTGCACTCCTGTGTGGCGGTCAGTCACAACTTGCTGCACATCGACCCCCCTCTCAAAAAGTGTGCTCAGACTTCTCACAAATCCCTCCTTCTCCATTCGCACACTATTTCCAACTTCATTGCTCTGAAAATAAACATAATTCTCCATTGATCTGTGAATAATTAACCATGAAATGCATTGGAATCATCAGGTAATGTTGTACCTGTACAAGTTGGATATCAGTAACTTTGTTTCTTTTGAGATCCATCATGGTGTAGCTGCCAAATTTGGCTGAGTGTCCTTCAAGAAATGCAAGTTATTACTTAATTTACATTTGATAGCAAAGGAATAAAATAAATAAATTTAAAAGTATTCACCAGGTGAATCAGCTCGCATGTCACCACCAAGAGTCACAGGTCCAGATTCAGTAGCCTCCTGGATGATATCAGCTTGCTCTAGCTGCCACTGCCAGCTCACTGTTGGAATTAACAGCTTTGCCTGATGTCGAAAGAATGTCTGCTTGGACAGTCCCTGCACATTGAAGGCACCCAGGAACTAAAATATGAAAAGTTACGTCATGAAATGAGAGACGCACAGACCTTATCAAAACCAACCTAAACAGTTTTGGCCTATACCTTAGAAATCTGGCTAAATGATGAGCCTGTGAAAAGGACAGCAGCACAGAGCTGGAGGTTTCCTGCTGGGATGCTGTTCACCATGGGCTGACTGGACCACTCATTGTAGTGCTCACAGCATGAACACCGTTGTGTCACACGGAGCAGTGTGCCGACTGTTGTCGTGTTCACAACACAACGACCGGTACAAACGGGACACCTTCTGAACAGCCCCAGCAACTGTTTCTCATGAACAATGTACTTCTTGTCCTTTTGTGGATGGACCTCAGTGAAAGAGCTGTATAGAACACATACATTTATATATATGGTCATAACTAAAAAATTCTAAAATGTTATAATTTTTTTTTACCTTGAACAGTTCACTGAGCTTCCACTGTCATTGAGGTGGAAGCTGGGATCAACAACAGACACCTCATATCGTGGTCTTTTCAGGGGTGTGGACGCAGCTCTAGGACTTTGTGGAAGATGAATTTCCGTCACGGTCCCTGTGTCACAAGACACACTGCGGCTGTGAGCTTTAAACTGGGTGGCTATGTAAAATACAAAGAAGCAGCACATTTATAAATGTTTAAAAGAGCATAAAATCACGTGTAACAATAATCTGCAAAACAAATAAAAACTAGAAGGTAATAATAAAATGTTTACATAGAAGATTATTAAAAATAATTCACCTTTGCTACGTCGATAAGGCTTTACATGAGCCTGGACAAGTGCATTTTTGCAGATTACTAAATCAGTCTGACAGCCAACGTCTTGGGTAGATTTAGCCTGAAAAAAAAAAATAGAAGCACATTGTTGTTGTTGTTTATAAAGTCAGATAATATACAAAAGAAACTGTCCGAAATATATATATATATATATATATATATATATATATATATATATATATATATATATATATAGGCGCTTTATGACATTCCTAGTGTGTGATCGTTATTATAACGTAAAAGTCAGTCACATATGATGTGAAGAACCTGAAATGCGACCTCCTGAACAGAATTCCTCACAGAACCGGGTTAGGCTTTGGTGTAAAGCTGGATTTCACGCTGTAATGATGTCTGTCAACTAGTGCTGCGTTAGAGCCACTGTTGCTGAATTACCGACTGACACAAAAACAACCCGGATTTTCTCCGAGCCTGACAGAAATAGTCATGTGGACCTTTTTGTCGGCCAGGGCTTCGAGAAATGTTCCGATTCGCCGCTGATTCTAACCTTACATCCCGTTCCACATTTTGTGAACTTGACAATTTAGCCCGAAGGCAGTGCAGGCTGATATTAGCTAAAGGAAGTGAACCACGTCTCTCAAACTTTGCATTTAGGTAGGGAATTGTCTTTAGAAGATGTTAAAACGTTTATTTAGCTTACTCACCTCAGACTGGAGCCCGCCATGGTGGGGGAGCAGAGTCGGTGGGCTGCATCTAATTCGTGGAAGAGCCACGGTGGGCACGGCCTCACTCTTCAAACGGAGACGTGCAGAATAACCCAGTTCAAACTCCATCATGTTGGCGAAGGAATCGCGGGTAAAATGCTGGTTGCAGACTACAGCACCAGGCGGGAGCTGACTATCCTGTACACCGATTGCGCGCAACCACTGGCGCCTAATTTCTAAGTCCAGTGGAAAGGAGTGCAACCCCACAGAGCTACCACAACCAACTACACTACACCTTTTAACCATACTAACACTATATGGAACACTAAACCCGAATTATTTTCCTAATAAAACTAACAGCTAAACACTAACTAAACTACAATATCTAACAGCCAAGCTGACACTAAATAAGTACTAACACGATATGGAACACTAAACCCGAACTACTTTCCTAGTAACACTAAAAGCCAAACACTAACTAAACTACAATATCTAACAGCCAAGCTAACACTAAATAAGTATTTATAACACTAAAAGCTATGCTAAAGACTATAATATGCTAATGCTATATGCTAATGCTGAACTACCGCTAACCGTCCGACACTCACTTGCAAATCCAACTCCCAA